ACCATATTTTCATCATACACATGTAAGCTGGGAAACCGTGTCTGCTTACCCATCGCACCAGCCTGCTCTAGAGAAACCCAACTCCTGCTGCTCCGGTAGTTTGTCCATGAAGGTCAGAACTGGTGATACTGATGCTGTGATGTAAACACAGCTGTTCCTTAGCAACTCCTCCCAGCCAGTCTTTCCATCACTTACGCTTCATCTCAGAGCTACTTAGGTAGGATGCTCACAGAGCATTTTAGGGCCTGGGACTTACTATTCAGCTGAGTGTCTTGTCCCGTGAGCCTGCTTCTCAGCCCCCTGATCGCTCATTCTAGGGAGGCCCGTCTGCCTCACACACCGCAGTCAGGGAACTAAGCCGAGCAAGCAAATTGTGTCTTTCCAGAGAGTTCTTTGGCTCACACTCTGACCAATACAATCAAGCCTTCAACTCACTCTCCTCCATCCCTCTGGCCTTTCCAGAAAGACCTGTGTTCCTACACACGGCTCTCCTCTGAGCCCTCATTCTGAGGGGCATCTTCAGGCACAGCCTGCAGGCAGGCCCCCAAGATTGCCAGCCAACTCAACCCTGATTCAGACGGTAAGGACGTGAGTAGGAGTCCAGCAGCTCCGTGGAAAGGGGACTCGGGGTCAGACTTGGCAAGGCATACACAAATCCGAGGGGCTGCCAGACCTGCCGAAGGCCCAAAGGGAACAGCTCTTTGATTTGTTCACCAACACGCCCCCCGTCCCCCCTCCCCCTCGTTAATTTTATAAACAGGCTGCCTGGGCTGTAGCTCTCCTTGTCTTTTCAGTTGTTGGACTTGTGGTCACGATGCTGGTTATGAGGTCATTCAGAAATGACCCAGGTAGACATGTGTCCTGGCATCCCACCCCCTGCCGTTTCCTCCTTGTGATCATTCATACATCACATGAGGATGTGTGCCGCCCCGTACTGGCATGCGCATGCATAAATGTGTACACACACAATGTGCACCTGTGCATGCATGCCCATGTGTCTAAATGGGAACTCCACTGTAGATACTATTTCTGTAATTTGCATCTTGCCGTCGGAAATAGACGGATGAACATTCTTCCAAGCCTGCGCTTTCAGTCTGAGCCTGTTTCATTGCTCACACGGAGTCTGGGGACGGCTGTGCCACCATTTAAGTCAACGCTTCTTTTTAGGAATGTGGACATGGCTTGCAGTTTTCTGCTCATTTAAGCACATTTTTCCGCAGGTGAACCTCCCTGACATGGATCTTTAGATACGCCTGCTGTTAAAGCCCAAAGCGTGCACATTGGAAAGAACATGTGTTCGTTGCCATCGTATTTTAATTAAAAGTGCATCTTAGTGTTTTCTAGTCCTGTCCCTGCTGACATCACCGAGATGCATTTAAACTCGTATCGTCACTAGAGAGCTAGACCTCTGCTTTTCTGCTCAATCATCTCCAGTTGATTACATTTACATTTTTGTTGTTAGAGAAAAAATTTCTTCCAGATCAGCTTGACTGATTGGGTTCATGTAATTAGATTCTATCTCTAGGCAGTTGATCAATTAGATCCGAGATGCCGTTTAGGGAAGTTTGACTCAGACCCCCTCCTCCTGCTGGAGACAAGCCAAAACCCTCCAATAAGTCATGAATTTGTTTCTAGAAGGGGTGCGGAGAGCCCATTGAAACCTGCAGCTGTTTACTTAAGCAGTTGTTTGGTGCTGCTCAATCAATATACAGTGAAATCATAAAGACATTCAGCCGCTGAGCGCCTGTCGTTGGAAATTCAGAAGTCAATGTGCTGTAGGACTGTTACCACGGGACTGTTCATCTCCAACTGAAGCTGACTTAGGAAATGAGATGAGAATTGCAAAAATCCAGGGGGACGGGGAAGTCCTGTTCAAATTGCAAAGACTCCCAAGTTGATTCTATCAGCCACGATTTGGTAAGCAGATCACTCACTCCTGTGAGCATGTAATAAATGGATATGCCTTTCTATGGGGCTCTGGTGGCCCACAAGGTCAGAGATTCAAACCCACCAGGTGCTCTGAAAGAGAAAAGTGAGTTAGTCTCCTTCTGTGAAGGTTTACGGGCTTGGAAACCCTATGGCGCAGATAGATCGACCGTTGGATCTGGTCTGTTCTGGAGGGTCACTGCGAGTTGGCATCTACTCAGTGACAGTGAGTTTGGTTTTGATTTTGCAGGACAGCTTGGTTCTGTGTGTCACAGTCTTTACAAATACACTTTCATGAAGTCATGCCATGCCTAGGAATTTATAAAAGTAGAAAACTGAGGAGGGGGTGGGGAACTGATTGCAGTGATCTACACATAACCCGCCCCCCCACCCTAGGAGGGATGAACAGCAGAAATGTGGGTGAAGGGAGACAGCAGTGAGTGTAAGATGTGAAAACAATATAATTTATCAAGGGGTCACGAGGGTGGGAC